AACTGAGATTGATACTGGGAAGAGAAGGAGAGTTAGCTGGCAAAGATTTCATACGTGGTGTTTAGATGAAGTTCCCAAGGATGCAGGAGAGAAAAAGATTAATTGGAGAAACTGTACATGCCCAGGGTAGAGAAGATGCTTCAGTTTTTACAGAAGAGAGGTAGTAACGGATGAGTAGGAAAGCAGGGATAATTGTAGACTTCACTATACTGAGCAAAGGTGATTTGTCAAATGATCTAATTCATCTTTGTCACAGGAGGCAGTCCCACCTGTGTGAAGTATGACAAGCATGAGTATGTGTGTATGTGATGTGAGATGCGTGGAATATGTTTGAATTGTTTAGCACTAGAATAATAATCTGGTTAGCAAGACACAGTGGAATTGCTAGATCCATCTGAATGTTGCTGGGTATCCTGTGTCTGTGTGTAGGCCAGGATTGATGTCCTAGCCATGTTCTGTCAGAACTGGCCACTGAAGGGGGTAAAAGTACCAAGTCAACAGGACTGGCATCTTGATCAGAAGATGTGGTCAGAGGTCAAATGGAAATAAGAATTATCAATCCTTGTCAGTATCTGCTACAGAGAATCTGTGGTGACTAATCTAAGCAGTAAAAATGATGAAATTTGGGGGCTGATGGATGTGAGGTGAGTTCCTTGCAGTAGGAAAACGTGGGGAAGGGAAGTGATTCTGTGAACTGTCCCCAAAGAAGAGGTGGTTATAATTACTGGGTGGGGCTTCTGATTTTTTTTTATCTGAAATTGACTCATGGGAAAAACCTAGCTGTGGTATATACTTCTCAAGGCAACCACGTTTAGGAATGAGAGTATGAGAGTCAGGATGATGATTAGACTAGACTTAAAACCTTAGTAGATCAAATTTGGAGCCATGTAGTTTTGTCATGTTACTAAAGTCTTGTGAACCCATATTCACTTCATTTGTTCAATTCATAAACCCCCCAAACTACAGAGTTATTGGGAGGATTAAGGAAATATATACACAGATACAGAGGGTGCCAAAAATATATATACACATATTAAGTGTTGCTATCTATGTATTATTACTTTTCAAAGTTGAAGGTACTGTTACTTTTTGAGTATACCCAGACATGCTACACACACAAATTTTACTTCTGACAAGATCCCTTAAAAAATACATGTACATTTTTTTGGCACTCCCTGTGTGTATTTGTGTTTATATATGTGTGTGTGTATATATATATATATATATTTGCACACAGTGTGTTATCTTGAAGCACAGGGTCACATTGATCAAACTTTCATTGCTGATGTTTTATATTTTTATCTAGACTTTAAGCACAAGGGGTGAGCTAAGACTGCTCTTGAGACCTGTCAAAACAGCACCTTGAGCACACACCTGTCTTGAGCGATGGGAAACTGCCTTCAGTGCTACTCCATCTTAGATGACGACACCTCACCACCCCAGTCAGCACAGCAGGATGACTATCCACTTGCAGCCGTTCTTCCAGCTGAGGAAGAGAGCCAGCCTCAACTGACCGAAGAGGAACAGATTAGAATGGCTCAAAGAATGTGGCTTATAGAGCATCTGCCTGAAGAAGCTTATGACCCTGGAAAAGCTGGATTGGAAGAAGAGGGACCAGAATGTCCTATCTGTTGCCAGGAATTTGCTTGTGGGGATCTCATTCGCTATCTGCCATGCCAGCACTTCTACCACCTGGCCTGCATCGATGAGTGGCTGATGATCTCCTTGACCTGCCCCTGCTGTAGAGGCTCTGTAGATATAGTGGCAACTGAATGTTGAGACCAGCTGAGCAACTTCAACAAAAACATTCTCTTGGTTTTGATCTTTTGTCATTGAGCCAAAGAGGCAGGGAATAGGAATTATAATCTGGCACAAAGTTCCCAAATTTTTGTAGTTTCTAAGAAATACAGATGCTAGGATACTATATAGCAAGTGATATTTTAGAAATTTACCATGAAAGGTAGAATGGTATTCTTATGTACAGCCTTGACCCAATGTTTATAAATACAAGTGTGTTTAGATTTTGTTTTGGCTGCACTATGTAAAAATTGTGTAAAGTGTTGCAGCAGCTGTATTTGTTTTAATCATGTATTGAAGTTTAGGAAGAAATACTACTATATTCTTAAATGGAATGGTCTTCCCCCTAGCCCAAACTCATTATCTGAAGTCAGCGTCATTTGAGTAAAGGTTTTATTAAGAGCTTACCTTTTGTAACACCAAATTAAAATGATCTTAAATTAACTATGAATAAATATTGAAATAACTTCACACTGGCTTTATCTCTTTCACTCTGTCATTTTATGAGAGGTTTAACTTTTCCAATGTTTTGTTCATCCAGGCCAGGCAAGACTAGGTATATCCCATACAAGGAAGCACTGATTTATGCAATCTGGGTGTGCCCCAGGAATGCAGCACTGATTGGGTTACTGTGTTATCTTTATGGAATGATAAAGATTAGTTGACTCTAATCTTGTCACAGTCAGAGCGCATTTCAATTCCTGAGTTGGAAGACAGTAATACATCCACACTCTGCCACAGAGAATGATCATTCTATATTGGTAAAACATCAACTTTAGTCTCTTCCCTATTTTATTTCATTTTTTGAGACAGAGCCTCAAGCTGTCCCCCTGGGTGGAGCACTGTGGTATCACAGCTCACAGCAACCTCCAACTCCTGGGCTCAAGCAAGTCTCCTGCCTCAGCCTCCCAAGTAGCTGGGACTACAGGCACCCACCACAATGCCCGGCTATTTTTTGGTTGCAGCTGTCATTGTTGTTGGGCGGGCCTGGGCTGCATTCGAACCCTCCACCTTAAGTGTATGTGGCTGGCACCTTAGCCACTTGAGCCACAGGTGCTGAGCCTCTTCCCTATTTTAGACAACATCCAACCATTGAATAAAATGTATTGTCTGCACAAAACAGCAGGGACTGTAGTAGTATAAAAATAAAACACAAGACAAGAAAAACCCGTGTTTTAAATTTATGGTTTGTAGGAAAGTAATTTACGATAAATATGTATTGTGAGACAAAGTTATACAAACAAAAAAATGGAGAAATTCTGTAGTGCTGATTGGCCAAACTATGGTCTGTGGGTGAAGTTAGTGGAGGGACTTGACAGACTACACAGAGAACATTAGAAAACTTGAAGACA